GTCTACGTTGCCTGTCTCCGTCCCTCCAGCCAGGCACCAGGCCTGGTGCACCCTGCCCTGCATCCTGCACCCTGCCCTGCATGCACCCTACACTCTTCCCTGTGCACTCTAGTCTGCCCTGTGCCCTGCCCAGTGCCCATGCTCTGCCTGTGCCATGCCTTGTGTCATGCACCCTGAACTCTGCCTTGTGTCATGTACTCTGCCCTGCATGCACCTGACTCTGTCCTGCATCTGCACCCTGCCCTGCACGCACCTGACTCTGTCCTGCATCTCTGCCCTGCCCTGCATGCACCTGACTGTCCTGCATCTCTGCCCTGCCCTGCATCTGCGCCCTGCCCTTTATGCACCTGGCACCCTGCCCTGCATGCATCCCACACCCTGCCTTACACCCGTGCCCTGCCCTACACCCACACCCTGGCCTGCATGCACCTGATTCTTCCCTGCACCTGTACCCTGCCCTGCATGCACCCCGCACCCTGCCCTGCATCTACCTGTCCTGCATCCGCTCCCTGCCCTGCATGCACCTGATTCTTCCCTGCATCCATGCCCTCCCTGCATTCACCCTGCACCGGCACCTGCCCTGCATGCACCCCGCACCCTGCCCGGTATCCTATGTTCTGCCCCGCAGGAGAACAAGACACAGCGGGGGCTGAGTCAGCCTCTTCCTGCTGGGGTGGCCCACCCTGGAGAGGTGGGCTGCTCCATCTGCCCTCAGCCTCGAGCCTGTAGCCAGGGCTCTGCCTTCACTTCTGGCCCTGTCTGAGCTGGTGGCCCCCTTTCACAGCAGCAGGCCCTGGACTGGGCAAGCAGACCAGGTTGGGCTGCCCTTGAGCCACAAAGCTAGTTGTCACCTACTTTGAACATGTCACTAGACCCCCTACCAGGTGTGTGTGTGTGTGTGTGTGTGTGCAGGTTTGGGGCCCAGACAGGCTTGTGGTGCCTCACCTCGCTCCAGGGCGAGGTGCTCCTGCCCGTGGTGCTAAGTGCCCCACTTGTGGCCTCCAGGGCAGCGCCAGACCTCCTCCTCTGTTCTCACCTGCAGGGCCCTGTGCAGGCAGTGGGCTGAGGTCCTGGCCCTGGGTAACAGGGCTACTCTTCGGGAGGCTGAGGGCACTGCGGTGTGGAGTGGCGCTGGAAACAGGGACCCTGCTGGTGACTAACCTGCCCAGCTGGGTTCCATGTAACATCCATGTAAAGGCCCTGAGATTGTTCTTGTGTCAGTGACCTCGAATGTGTGCCCAAGGACTTTTTTTTGGGGGGGGAGGTTACCAGGAATTGCACCCAGTGGTGCTTAACCACTGAGACACATCCCCAGCCCTTTTTTATATTTTTTTTTGTTTGGAGACAGAGTCTTCCTGAGTTGCTTTAGGACCTCGCTGAATTGCTGAGGCTGGCTTTCAACCCGCAGTGCTGCTTCCCAGGGATGGTAGGTGTGTGCCAAGATGCCTGGCTGCCCAAGGACTTTCCCAAGGTCTATCTGAGATGCCATCAGGTCAAAGCCAGGTGCAGGGGAACTCCTGTTCTCAAAGGGATGGCTTTCAGAGGCCGGAGCCACAGCCAGGGACACAGCCCAAGGGTCTGCAGCAGACCAGGAGAGACCCCCTCTGCTCTGGCCCCCACCCTGGCCTTCCTGGGAGCCCTGCCAGGTCCCCTCAGACCAAAACTGGGTTTGAGCTTCTCACTGAGGGCAGCTGTCCATGCTCTGGGTGTCCAGCCTCCTCGGGCCAGGATGGGGTGCCCTTCAGGGGCTCAGGAAGGTTGAAGGCCTCACCCCGACCTCACTGCCCCCGTCTCCGGTCTAAGTGGTGAGCACCTTCCAGGCGGGCACTGGGACAGGGGCCTCTTTGTGGAAGGGGCATGGCAGCCAAAGGCCAGCTGTGCCGGTTTCCTGCACCCTTTCCGTGGCCTGCACACCCCACCTGCAGGGGTCGCCACAACAGGCCGCCACTGGGCAGCAGCCAGCTGAGCGACTGGCTGGAACCCAGCCCAGCGGGAGGGGCAGCCTCATCCTAGGCCGAGGGACAGGCCGACGGGACCCCTGCCCTGGTGGGGGCCGCTGCTCTCCTCCGCGGGCGAGCAGCTCTCGCTGCCGGCCTGTCCGGGGCAGCCTCTGCGGCGGGGCCTGATTGGGTGGGTGGGGCCCGGCCGGCCACCGCCCCTCTGCCGCCCTCTGTCTGGCTGTCCAGTCTTGCCCAACCCTGGACTTGTGCGCCAGTCTCCGCCAAGGAAGCGAGGCCGCCCGCGCCCTTGCCTTCGGGCGGTGTCCGCAGAGCCTTGCCCTCGGGTGGTGTCCCCCAAGTCACCTGCGCGGAGAGGGCTCCCACTCGGCCATTGACACGGAAAATGCAGCCGGGCAGGCGGCGCCCGCCTGTAATCCCAGCAGCTCGGGCGGCTGAAGCAGGAGGATTCCGCTGGAGCCCAGCAAGGGCAGCTTAGCGAGACCCTGTCTCAAAGTAAAGAAAATTCAAAGGGCTGGGTGTGGCTCAGTGGTAGGGCACCCCCAGTTCAATCCCAGTGCCCCCCGCAAAAATCGGAAAACGCGGAAACACCCCCGCCAGGGCGGAGCAGGTGGACTCGAGGTCATCAGGTAGCGACACAGGCAGGGGCAAACTTGACCCCGTCCGCGCAGCCCCTCTTCCCGGGAGGTGCCTGGCCAGGCAGGGGCGCCCCTGCTGCGTGGGACTCAGCTCTAGACTGGAGACTGGCTGGGAATAGGCAGGTCCCTCCCCGCCCGCTGGGCCTGAGTGGCCCAGCGGCCTCATTCTGGTTGGCTCTGGGTTGGCCACCATGAAGTGGACAGCTTGGGATCAGGCATTCTCCTCCTCTCAGTACTGGGGGCCCCTCAGTGTCGCCCTCTGTCCTGAGAATCCAGGCCCTGTGTGCTCCTGGGAAAGGAAGAGGACCGGGAAAGGTGGGCCTGGATGGGGCCAGCAACCATCCTGCAGAGGCCGGGACCCAGCTCTGCCAGCCCGCAGTGCAGCCGGAGCCAGCCACTGCCCCCGGAGCCCGTCTCCCTGCTGTGAAGGCCAGGACCATGGCAGGAGCTGGCACCCGGCAGTTGCCATAGGTGTCTCAGTCCTCCCTGGTCTGGGGCACAGGTGGGCTGCCTTGACATCACCCTGACCTGGGCCTGAGCCCGTGGACAGACCCAGAGCTCTGGGAGAGGTGGCACGGGGGGGTCCCTGGCTCCAGTGGACCTTCTGAGGAGGGACCATCTCCCCTCCAGCTTCTCCTTGCCTTCAAGGTAAGGTTGAGCTGACCGCCTACTGCAGGAGGCTCCGGTCCTTGAAGGGGCTGGGACCTGCTGCTCCCTTCCCTGCCGCGCTCCCGGGAGAGACCTGCTCTACTGCAAAGGCACCTGTGAACATGGCGGCCCCAGCCTTCACTCTCCTTAAGTCTGTCTCTCTCACACACGTCTTCCTCCTGCGGGGTTTGCCACCCTGACACAGACACTGTGACCCAAAGACAAGTGTTGAAGCAGGAAGGCCCGAGACTTGAACCAGAGCACCCAGAAGCCTCCTGAGCCCCCAGCACCATGTCCACTGGGGTCCCCAGGGGCTGGACGTGTGGATCGGGAGGTCAGGCCCTGCCAGCTGGGGAGAGGCACAGAACATCTCAGGCGCCCAGCTGCAGGCCCCTACGGGCATTTGGGAAGGGGCTTCCCGGGGGCACCTGGCAGGTCTCGACCCTGGGCCCCCCCAGAGGTCCCAGTACCAGAGATCCCCGCAGGGAAGTGCTGCCCGCCCTTGGCCGGGCTCCACCTGCAGAGAGGTGGCCAAGGAGCCTGCAGTTTCTGCCCAGGAGCAGCTGGGGGCCTGGGGTCCCTCGGGTGCTCCTAGTACAGGCGGCAGGCAGCGACCTCAGGGGGCCTGGGGCTGGGGTCAGGGCTCTTCCCTGCGTCCCTTTGTGGGTCACTGCTGGAGCACCTGGGACGTGGGCATGGCTCTTGTGCCAGGCACAGTGGGAGGCACAGTCCCTGCCCTGAGGAGCTAGTGCTGCCCCCAGGGGGGCTGGGGGCGTCAACCCTGCAGGAAGCAGGTGTCAGCCCGGGGATCCCCCCCGACCTGGGCTGACCACAGCAGGGAACTAGAGCGACTCTACTGTGTCCACCAAAGAGTTCCGTCCTCTCTTAAGCCACCATCGGGAACCTGCCCCCATCCTGTGGGAAGGTCTTGGCTTTGATGTGATCAGAAAGGGGTTTCCAGGGCTGGGGCTGGGGCGCGGTGGCAGAGCGCTCAGTGAGCATGCCCGAGGCCCCGGCCTCGGTCCTCAGCACCACATCAATGTAAAGACACTGTGTCCACCTAGAACTTAAGAATAGATCTTAAAGAAAAAAAAGAAGTGAAGAAAGATGGGACTAGAATGGGCTCAAATTCAACGATCCGTGTCTTTATAAGACCAAAGACAGCCACAGAGAGGGGCCCATGAGCAGCATGTGACTTCTGAGCCAGATGGGGACCTTGCAGCCAAAGGCCAGGGGGCTTGAGGGTTGTCAGAGGCACCAGAAGCTATGGGAGGCCGGCACATCCCTCAGAGAACCCAGAGTGGCTCAGCGCTGTCCACCTGGACTTCAGGATTCTGGCCTCCAGACCACATGCAGACAAAGTCACTTGTTTAAAGCCACACAGCTTGTGGCACTGTTAGAACAGTCCTGGGAACCAGAATGGACAGTGAGCTCCCCGCCACAGTAGGTATGCAAGGGCGAAAACAGAGGGCAGAGCTGCCCTGGGGCCCACTGCTCCCTGTAGGTGGGGAGGGGGCCTCACTGCCCCGCGCATCTGTGACGCCATCCCTGCTGGGGGCGCGGCAGGGCGGGTGCAGTGATTCCTGTGCTCCGGGGAACCCATGGGACAGGAGGAGGAAGTGCCAGGGGCTGGGCCCATCCCAGGAGGAAGCGACGGCCGGATTTTCCCCAGGTGTGGCCCCAGTATAAAGAACCGGGCAGCTGGGGCCTCGCCAGGTGCACCCCGGGCCGCCCAGGTGTGAGGCTGTGCCAAGCCATGCCTGCCGTCACCGCCGTCACCACCACTGTGATGGTGAGCCAGGCCGCCCCGCCTCAGGGGTGCAGCCTGGCCCGGTGGGGCTCTGGGCCCCAAGATGGGTGCTGGGAAGGGTCCGGGACACCCCACCTGGGGAGGGAGAGCCGGAGGCCTGGGTGTGGCTGCCCTAGAGCCAGGGGTGGTCTCTGGCCTCAGTCTCCCCATCTGCGGGGCAGGCTGAGCCGGGTCTTTCCACCTGGAGGCCGGCAGGCTGGCAGGAGTGAGGTGTCCTGGCCCTGACCCGGGCTGACCACATGCCTGTCCTCCAGCTTCTCCTTGGCATCCTGCCTCTGACCTGGCTGCCCACCAGCCGAGCCCACCACAGCCACCCACTCTGGGGGGCCCCACACCCCCACAGGACCCCGCGCTGCTACTCAGCTGAGGAACTGCCCGACGGCCAGCCCCCCCCTCACCTGCTGGCTCGAAGTGCCAGGTGGGAGCAGGCCTTGCCTGTGGCCCTGGTGTCCAGCCTGGAGGCGGAGGGCCACAGGCGGCAGCCCCAGGGGGCCCTGGCTGGGCCTCAGTGCCCCGTGCTGCGGCCAGAGGAGGTCCTGACAGCTGACACTCACCAGCGCTCCATCTCGCCCTGGAGATACCGGTGAGGGCTGCGGGGCGGGGGGGCGGTCCCTGTGCTCTGGACCTCAGTGTCTTCATCCTGACCCCGCGGTCCACCCCGTCCACCCCAGCCAAGGAAGTGAGGCTCTGTCTTCTGACAGGACCTCAGCCCAGATATTGGCCCCCAGACCCCCAGGAAGATTCCGACCCCCAAACCCCAACCCTGTGCTCTCGGAGGCCATGGGGGCAGGGATGATCACCCCGAGCCCCGGCTCCCGAGCACAGGGGCCTCCTGGCAGGGAGCAGGCGGAGCCTGGAGTGCTGACACGGAGAAGCCTCACTGTCCTGTCCCCACAGCATCGACACGGACGAGAGCCGCTATCCGCAGAAGCTGGCCTTCGCCGAGTGCCTGTGCCGCGGCTGCATCAGCACCAGGACGGGCCAGGAGACGGCCGCGCTCAACTCCGTGCGGCTTCACCAGAGCCTGCTGGTTCTGCGCCGCAGGCCCTGCTCCCCCGACGGGGCGGAGGCCACCTCGCCAGGGGCCTTTGCCTTCCACACAGAGTTCATCCGCGTGCCCGTGGGCTGCACCTGCGTCCTGCCCAGGTCAGCACCGTGACACCAGCCTGCTGCCCCGGGCCAGGCGCCCCTGCCGAGGGCCCGTTATTTATGTGTATTTATTGTTATTTATGTGCCTGGAGCAGGGCCACTCCAGCAGCCATCTGAGCAGTGCCCCGAGCTGGGCACCCCAGGGTCTGGGTGGGCTGGAAGGCTGCTCCTCCTCCTGGTGCTGAGCGCCTGCCCGGCCGCCCCCCGGCCTCAGGCTGCTCCACTGCCCTGCTTCTCAGCAACCCCGGGACGAGGGGTCCACTTTCTTAGACGATTGTTCATTCTGGCTGTGACTGTGCCATTAAATGGGTACGACGCAGTGACGTCTGCACTCCTTCACTTCAGACCCCCCACCCGCAGGTCCCATCGGGCAAGAAGTCTGTGCGCAGCCCTGGGTGGAGACGGGCCTGGGCGCCATGGGCACGGGTGGGCCCGGCCAGCCGAGCGGGTTCACCTACCTGACGGTAGACGGGCAGCTCCTGCCCTGGGCATGGGCGCTGCTCCCCAAAGCCCAGCCTCGACCCCCACCTGTTAGCACCTGGAGCACTTGGGGCCATCTGTCCTGAGGACAGCACCCCTGAGGATGAAGCCCAGGGTCGCTGCCCTTCAGGATGGACAGACCCCCTTGCCTCCCAGGGGGAGCTCACCAGGCCCGGACCTGGTGAGGACCCTGTGCTCGGGAGACGGGGCTCGGGCCTGGGCCCCCTCAGCTCCTGCCAGGGGTGCTGCACTCCCACTGTCGGCCTCTGCCTAAGGGGCACCGCGGCCGTGTGGAAGGTCGCCCGGGCCTCGGTCCTGCCTGAGACCACAGACCCACCCCACCTCACCAGTGTCTTCTTCCCCTACTGTGAGCGCCTACTGTGTGCCAGTGTGTTAGCGGGAGGCTGTGACAGGAGGCCAGCCCAGGAGCCCCGAGGAGACAGTCTCGGAGGCTTCCTGGGGAGGCGGCCTTTGCCCAGGACTGGGAGTTCCTAGCACAGGGCACTGACCAGGGCAGTGGACAAGACAAGCCCTGCCTCAGCAGGAAGGAGGTGGCAGTGAGGTGGGACCCCAAAGCTTCCTGCTTGGCTCTGGGGTTCTGTGCCTGCCCCTGAGGACACGTGGGTTCACACGGCTGGCTCTCCAGCCACAGTGCTGGGACACGTCAGGGGCCAGGGCTGAGGGGGTCCTTGGGGGCAGGTGGTCCAGGCCAGGGGGGCCTAAGAGGGCAGGGGTGGGATCAGCTCCTGGAAGGAGGCCCTGAGCTCCCCTGGTGGCGCTGAGCCATAGCGCCAGGGCAGATCCAGCCCTCTGGATGTCCCCAGGCAGGGCCCTGGACATCAGAGGACCCACTGCTGAGCAGGTGGCCAACAGGGGAGAGCTAGGCCTCCTGCAGCCTCGGCCACCGAGCTGGGGAAGGGTCCGGGGGCCGGGAGTGTGCACTTCGCTCCCCTGATACTGATCCCACCCACGGGGCCCAGGAAGATCCGCACGCGCCAGGCAGTCACTGCGTTTATTGGGGGCGCTGCCGCCCCCTGGCGGCCACGCTGGGGAGTGCAGGCGACCTCACACGACCTCGTCAGTCACCGGGATGGGGTTGACCTGGGCACCCCCCCCCCACCGCTGGGGCCGCTGCCGCCGCCTCCTCCTCGCTGGGCTTCTTGCGGGCCTCAGCTGGGGGTCGGGGCGGGGGATTGCTGGGTGGCTGCTTGATGGTGCCTCCAACCTGCGGCCGCTCCTGGGGCTTGGGCTCAATGGGCATCCACTGCTCTCCGCGGACGGCCGCCTGGGGAGAAGAGAAGGACTGTGCCATGCTTCAGGCCCCACTCCCTTCCTCCTTGGGGAGTCCACAAGATCCACTCTGTAGGAGTGATGGGAGTAGGCCCAGAGAGGTTAAGCAACTGGCCTGAGGCCACACAGCCAGGACCTGCACCTGCCTGACTCCAGACCCAAGCTCTCCTGCCATATGGCCCCACAGGAGAAATGGGCCTGGATTCCATGGGTTTCTGAACAATCTTCTGGAGACCACTTCCTGGTGCAAATTCCAAGACCCACAGGGTTCCCAGGCCTCCCTTAAGGGACTAAAGGCCCTGGGGAGGGCAGAGCCCTCTCTGTCTGGTGGTGACACCCACTTGCCCTGGCCCTGCCCTGGCCAGCAGCCTCCTTGGGCACCCAGGCATTTCTGCACAGAGGCCCAGGGATTCTGGGGGTGCACAGCAGGGATCTGCTCCCGGGTCCTCTGTGGGAGGCAGACTGCTGGCCCTGCCCGGCCCAGGTGGCTGCCATGGCAGCAGGCCCAGCGAGCTGGGGACGTGAAGCTACTTTAGTTCCCGTCACTTTGATGAGTGTTTGTCGGAGCACAAACCTGAGGGAGCACAAGAAGGAGTTGAGCATCTGTGGTCCCCACCCCCACGGTGCCAGCACATTCCCGGGAGGTGAGAGGCGGCAGAGGGGCCGTCCTCGGGTAGGGAGGAGCTAACGCACCAGGGACGGCCTCGTCCACAGAGGGAAGCAGACACAATGCGCTGAAACACAGGGACTCCGCCCTGTGAGACAAGGACGAGGCCCACAGGACAGGCCAAGGACAAACTGCAGACTGTCGGGCTCAGAGCCAGGGTCAGAGAGAGTCCACCCAACACTGTCCATGGCAAGAGCCGCGAGATGCAGAGCAGAGGGGAACCACAGCACTGGCCAGGGTCCTGCGGTGGTGGCTTTGACCCAAGGAGCTGACGTGGTGGCCTGCGGCAGTGGGAGGACAGGCCCAGCAGGCTGAGGCCTTGGGGCCAGCGCTAGGCGGAGGAGGGCACTCCAGAGGGAGCCTGGGGCTCGGCACGAGGTGACACTTGCATGCACAGGGCGGCACGGCAGGCTTCCTGGGCACCCAGACAAGCGGCACGGGGGGCCAGCTCTGCAGGAAGCCCGCACTGGGGACCGCACGCTCCAGAGTCCAGCGTGGGTGGGCTTACAAGGGTCACACAGTCACAGGCGCCCCACCAGGGGGACACGGTGCCGGCGTCTGGGGAAACACCGGGTGGCACGGGGCCTCTTGAGCTCCTTGGAGAGGCAGACACGGCCCACATAGGAGCAAAGGGAAGGAGGATGGGCTGCGTGCCCGGGCCTGCCACGTCCCCTCCGAGCTTCTGCCTGCTCGTCCACCACCCCGCGGGGCTGAGGCAGGCTTAGACGGGAAGGTGCAGGGAGAGGCCCAGCCTGCATCCGATGTGTGACAACTGGCAGAGCCACAAGGGTCAAGGATGGGGACGCAGAGGACATACTCACCAGCAGGTAGATGACACTGGCGATGGCCAGGCAGACAGTGCCGAGGATGGTGGCCAGCAGGAAGCCTGCAGGCACGGACAGCCTGGGGGCAGGCAGAGAACGGCCCTCAGAAAAGGGCCAGGGGAGCTCGGCAGGCCCACTGCGGGGCTGTCCCAGGACCCCAGACAGGGGAGAGCGGCTCTGCCGAAGGCCCGGGTCCAGGTGGCAAGCCTCTCTCTGAGGTGCACTTTGGCCCTGGAGCCCAACCACCACCTCAGGAAGCCTGCAGCTGTGGCACGGCTGGCCCTTCCAGCTGGCCCCGGCAACTGCAGGAGGCCGGGCCCCAGGAGGAGCACTGAGCTGAGCCCGTCAGCCAGGGACCACAGCTGCTCGGGGGGTGGGGGGCCGTCACACCCGCAGGCGCCTGCCAGAGCCAGGGACCTCGTTTCAGTTTGGAAGACCACCCAGTGGGGAGGGAACTGGGCAGGCAGCCAGGTCAGCCTCCTCTCAACCTGCCAACTCGGGGGGACTCACAGGAGGTGCAAGACGGCCCGGACGTAGTAATTCCTGGTGAGGGGCCCGAAGAGCTTCACCACGGTGGTCATGCACTTCTGCCCACTGGACCCAGGAGGAAGACAAGCATGGGGCAGGGGGCCATGCCAACGCAGGACACAACCCCCGTCCCTCCCAGGGCCTTCAGCCCTTCTTCCTCCCAGGCGCTTAGGGACCCGGAAGCCAGGAGACACCGGCTGGTCCCTGGGGATGCCAGCCCCCCCCCCCCCCCCCCCGTGTGCAGAGGGAGGCCACTCACCAGCGCTCCATGGTGGCGCCCTTCCTCCTCCTGCCCCGGGGGTACTCCAGGAGGCAGACGAACACCCCTGCCACACTGGGTGCCAGTTAAGGCCTCCTGCTCAGCCCCAGGGCCCCAGGCCCGCCCGCACCCTCCTGCCACCCGGGTCCGCCCGGCCGGCAGGACTGGGAGGGTGCGGAGGCCCAAGCCCAGGTCGTCCAGCAGGCCTCCGCGCCAGCCCTGGCCCACGCCCGCGAGGGCATCTCCTCAGACCTGGCCTCCCCAAGGTGGGGCTGTGGCTTTGACTTTCAGAAGCGCAGCTGGAGGCCCCCAGGTCCAGCAGGAGGCCGCTGGCACCCTCATACCCAGGTGCCCTTTGGGCACGGCTCCTCCGCCCCCCCACCTCCGGGTCCCCTCCCATCCCCTAGATGCCAGCAGAAGGATACATGGAGTAGGCGCCAAAGTACCACTGGGTGAAGCGTCCCGCGGTGGCCACGATGCCCCCGGTGATGAGAACTGCGGGCGGGGCAAGAGGGTGAGGTGGCAGGCCACGCCCCGACCCTGCAGGGCTCAGTCCCAGGGCACAGCCACCTGCCCCCCTCCTCCCACGGGGGCCACTAGGTCCCCTGCAGACAATGTGGGCTGCTGGAGTGAAGAGGTCTGGGGAGAGTCCACAGGCAGATGGGAGGGGACCAGGCTGAGCTGCAGAGGGACAGCCTGGCTGCAGGCCATGCGGGACTGCCAGCCTCAGCTCTGGGACCTCGCCTGGGCATTGGCCAGGCTCCTGTCACCCGGCAATGGCCTCTCGCATGGGTTGTGGCTTTGCACACTGTGGTGGACTGCCTCTCAGGACAGGGTGCCCAGCCCTGCCCCCCACCGCCCACCCTCCCCTCCTGTCCAGCCTCCCTTCCCGCCTGGCCCACGCTCCGCAGCCGCCCACCCTTTCCTTTGGGGTCTGTGTGCTCTGGCTGTCTGGGTCCTCCTCTGAGCAGCGTGGACCTGGCTTTTCTCCCGTCACTTACATTGCTTTCTTGCCACCTTTTTCTTTTTTGGTGGTAAAATAGATTTAGGATTCTGCAGCCATCTTAAGGCGACCCCGGGTTCTATCCCCAGCACCACAAACCCTACACTAAGGAGGTACCACAGTGTCGCAGCCTCACTACCAAACCCCTCCCGGAATCCCGGGGTTCTTGGGGGTAGTGGGAGCACAGGTGCTGGGCAGGGCCACCCCCTGCGTGCCCCGGTGCTCCACCAGCCCCCTGATCCTGGGCTGTGTGTCTGGCTTGCACAGCTCAAGGTCGCGCTGAGGAGCATCCACGCTGTGTGGACCGCAGCCTGTTCTGGTGTTGATTGCTTTTGAACTGAGTCGTTTTCCACTGCAGGGACCAGCCAGCACTCAGCATTCTGATGGCTCCAGCTTGCACCTATGGTAGGCAGTTCTGTCCCAGCCACCGCAACGCGCTGCAGCCCCGCGGACTCGGAATGCAGACCACTGCAACTGACTTTGTCTTGTTGCCTGCAGCTTCTCCTGACCCTCCTCTGCACAGCAGTGGGGGTTCACCTCTGACTCGAGCCTGCCCAGCTTCTCATTGTGCAGTTCTCAGCACAAGTGGGAGCTTAGCACAGTGACAGTGACACCTCACCGCAGGTGTGCGTCCCCCTCCTGCACACCTATCAGCCTGAATGTCCGAGGACAGCACCTGAAACTTTCACTAACCAGCACTGAGTCAATTTCCTGCATTTGGTGGGTACTTCTCTTTCATCTTTCCAAATCTAGAGCAGAACCTTTGGTTTATTTAGAGCCTTTTATATAATTCTAATGGCCACTGACTTTTTTTTTTTTTTTTTTAAGGAAAGAGGGGGGGGGGAGGGAGGGAGAGAATTTTTTAATATTTATTTTTTAGTTCTCGGCTGACACAACATCTTTGTTTGTACGTGGTGCTGAGGATCGAACCCGGGCCGCACGCATGCCAGGCGAGCGCGCTACCGCTTGAGCCACATCCCCAGCCCCATGGCACTGACTTTTAAAAGTTCTTATAGAGTGCCCCACATTCTGGATCTGTCTGGTTCTTTATCAAGGTATTGTTTTCTTTTCCTTCCATTTTGGAATTCAGCACTAACCTTACTTGGACTCAGACGTTTTTGACAAGAATTCTCAATGGTCATAGTGGGGTACTTTTATTTCTCCTGTTGAGAGGCACATAATATCAAGGCATCCCACTATTTTTTTTTAATTTGAAAATAAACTTCCAATATTCAAGGTTACTTATTTTGAAACCCTTCTTCCCAGACCACAGATAAAACTTCAGGATGTCTAGCCTCATTCTCTTCCAGAAGTGCTTGTTATTTGTATGTATTTGGTACTTATTCGCCAGTGTCTTTGTGTGCCACTTCTTCTCTGGGCTCCGACGTCCCCCCGAGGAGGAGCAGTCTTTGCAGTCAGGCTGTCAGCAGCCACCCCGCACACCAGTTGCCAAGGCTGGCCTGGACCCTGCCCCTGCTCCCAGCCTCCGGGCCTACGTCAATTCACTTTCCACTGTCCCTATCAGCTCCTACTCCTCGGTCTCCTTGAACATTTTAGACATTGTCAGGCCCCTTTCAAATGTGGTTCTGCCTCTGAGGACACAGGGCCTCTGGTTCTGTTGGGGTCCGCTTCCTCCAGCGGCAGCTGTGCCAGCTCCGGCCTGCAGGGGTTTCCCGTGGCCCGAGAGTCCTGGCTGAGGAACCGCCACAGGGGGCTCACGGCTGCTGCTGCTGGGGGCAGGACACCTCCCTATCCTGAACCTGGCTTGCCCCCATCCTGTGATCCGAAGGTCCCAGCCTCCCTGGCCAGCAGCTGGACTTCCAGGGGTCAGGCTGTCTGCAGCTCCCAGCTGGAGCAGCAGATCACAGTCCACTCCTGCTCAGGCAGCGCCGCTGGGCCCTGCTGCGCATGCGCGGCTCAGTTCGGCTCCTTCCACACACGGAGACCCCAGGACGGCAGGGCCAAGCCTGAGCATCCGGAGTGCCCTGGACTTCAGCTCCTGCTGGCCCGCTGGGAACCTGTTTTTGTTCCCTGCAGATGTCCTTCCTTGGTCCTGAGCTCAGCTATATATTAACTGCTCTCTGCTGGTCAGCATTCGTGTGTGTGGACGAGGAAGGCCAGTGTCCTCGTGCACTCTCTCAGCACACTGTCCTCCTGTCCCTGTCCTGAGCCTCAGTTTCACTGCCTGCCCTGGCCGCACGAGGGCCTGAGGACCCATTCCGACATCCTACTCCAGGCAGGGACTCTGCGGGTGCTGGGGCTCAGGGAGAAAAGAAGTGTGGGTGTGGTTAGAGCAGAGGAGCAGCAGAGGGAACCAGCTGCTGAGGTGGGACGTCCGGAAGACATCTCCAGACAGGCAGTGCTGGAGGGCATTTTGTTGTTCTTTTGGTGGGGAGTACTGGAGAGTGAACCCAGGGGCAATTTAACACTGAACCCCATCCCCGGATCTTTTTATTTTTTATTTAGAAATAGGGTCTCACCAAGTTGCTTAGGGCTTTGCTAAATTGCTGAGGCTGGCCTTAGAACTTGGGATCCTCCTGCCTCAGCCTCCTGAATCACTGGGATAACAGGTATGTGCCACCAGGCCTAGCTAAGGGTTGAGATGAAGGGAGGGGTCAACTTCCACAAAGGCCCTGAGGCACCCTCACCCAGGAACAGAGCGGGATCCTGTGCAGCTAGAGTGAGAATATGGGCAGGGCCCGGGAGGTGGGCAGGGGCTTGGGTAATGGGAATCTGGCTTTCGTTAGTGGCAATAAGCAGCCATTGGAGGCTCTTTGTAGGGAGGTGATGTGGTCTGTTAAACGAGGTGTTTTGGTATAAAAAGAATCCTGATGGCTGGGGCAGTGGCGCACGCCTATAATGATGGCTGGGGAGGTGAGAAAGAACAATGGTGAGTTCAAAGCCAGCCTCACAACATCAAGGCTGAGCAACTCAGGGAGACCCTGCCTCTAAATAAAGTACAAAATAGGGCTGGGACGTGGCTCAGTGGTCCAGTGCCCCTGTGTTCAATCTCTGGTGTCAAAAATAAATAAATAAATCCTGTTGGATGCCACGCTGGTAGGACCCAGCAGGCCACGCTGGCCAGGTGGCTGCACTGAACAGACCTAGAGAAAGGGGGCGGGCAAGAGGGCCACTTGCGCAGCAGGTCTGGGAGGCTTTCCACAAGCCCTCCTCTGCCGCAGCCTGGGACTTCTCAGGTCTCCCCTGTGGTGTTCCTGAGCAGGAACTGAGCAGCACCAGCCTGGGTGCTGGGAACAAGGGCCAGCCAGGGGAGACCCTGCCCAGGCACTCTGGAGCCACCCAGGTGGGTGCCCTCTGACTCACTGTACTTCCTGGAGGGGTTTGGGAGGAAGGAGGAAGTACAGCTAGAGTGCAGGGCATAGTCCACTGCAGGGAGGTGACAGTCCTGTGGGACAGTCCTGAGGACTACCAAAAGTAGCCACTCAAAAGGAGGAGGCTCAGAGCCAATGTCCCAAGGCTGCCACTCAAAATGTGGCTGAAAAGGGGCAGGCGAGGAAGACACCCTTGATTCCTGTCCCCACTCCTGCTGCTTACTGTCCCCAGGTGACAGGTGGTGGGCCATGACCCCCCACCCCACCCCACCCTGCGCACTGGGTAGAGGTCCTTCCACAGTGGCCAGAAATCCGCTGCCCCTCATCAGAACTCCCAGCAACCAGGGCAGGGCAGGGCCGTCCTCCTCCAGAGCCAAGCAGGGCTGGTCCCTTCGGGTGTGTATGAAATCCTAGGCCTCCTTCTGGGCACACTCCAGAATGGACCCCAAAGGAACCATCAGAACCCCACACCAGACCTGAGCCCACACCTGCTGGCTCCGGGGGAGAGGAGAACCGGGTGACCCCAGGGCCCGATCCCCGACTCCAGAACAGGACGGGGGGCAGGGGAGGGTCGTCGGCAGGGTTTTCTCAACCAGGAGGAACCGTGACGCCCCGGAAACCACCGGGGTGAGACGCCTCTTCCCCCAGCTTCCACTTCCTCCAGGGCGGGCGGAGGTCCGCGAAGGGGAAGTGCTGAGCAGGGTCGGGCAGAGCATGGGGGCAGGGAGGCGGGGAAGCGCCGCGCTGCGGGGGGCTACAGCCAGGACGCCGTGCCCGCCGGTCCGCGCAACCCTCCCGCCCTGCCCGGCCGCGCGCAGTCTCCGCGCCCCACCGCCCCCGGCTCCGCCCCAGCCCGGCCCGGCCCCGCCCCGGCCCGGCCCCGCCGCCGGCGCGCACTCACTCAGGCCGGACGCCAGCGCCTGCTCGTTCGCCCACATGGCCCACTCGATCTGCCCCATGGCGCCTCCTCGCTGGCCGCTCACTGCCTCCCGGCTGAGCGCGGTCACCGCGCCTAACTCGACGACCCGAGGCCTGTGACCCGCCCGCCGCCCCGCCCCTCGGGTAACCAGGTGACCTGCAGGCAGGGAAGGCGGGGCCACTGCAGACTCCCCCGCCCACGTATTACCCGGGGACTAGGGGCCCCACCCGACCTGACCGCCGCGGGGATACAGCGCAGCACCTGCTGGTGCGTATCACCCCCACAGTCTAGGGCTGCACCGTGGAGGACCCGGGACCCCAACGTCGGTGCAGGCTTGGGCTCTGCACGAAGGGCAAGAAGGCAGTGATGCCTCTCCCGGAGGACCCCTGCCTCCTAGATCTCATGGTCAAGGGACACTGGAAGCTCCTGATGACAGCTGGCTGGGACCAGGGTTTGCTCCAGACCCTGGCTGGCCCGCGGACCTCATGGGGTCACAAGAAGGGACGGCTGTGCAAGACTGGAAAACCCAGGAGAGGAGGAGCCAGGAGTGAAGTTCCCTCTCCTCGGTCCTCCCCTTGGACACACCCCGCAGCAGGGCAGGGGTGGGGCGCCAGAACTGCCGCAGGCTGGGGCGGGGCGGCAGGACGGGAGCTCATGCAGAGGCGGGATCTGCTTGGGGCCCAGCCTCTCAGAGTTGGGGAATCCATGTCTTGCCAGCATTTGGCTTCTGGCCCCATGCACTGGAAACTGGAGGTCCAGGTACCAGAATGAATTTTTTTGGGGGGAGGCGGGTACCAGGGATTGAGCTCAGGGCCACTAGACCACTGAGACACAACCCAGCCCTATTTTGTATTTTATTTAGAGACAGGGTCTGAGTTGCTTAGTGCCTCACCTTGCTGTGGCTGGCTTTGAACTCTCAATCCTCCTGTTGCAGCCTCCCAAATTGCTGGGATGACAGGTGCAAATGGAATTTAAGGGACTCGGAAAGGAGAAGGCAATCCCTGGCTCTGCTTACCCTCTCCTATCCATTCCTAGGAGTGCTGCTCCCTGCTGGGCAAGGGACAGAACCATCAGACCAGGGTCTCCAGAACACTGGCTTAAGAGAGCAAGAAAGGGCAAGAGGCAGATGGGCAACACTCGGTTTACTCCTTGGGGACCAGTCACCAGAGGCCCAGCCCAAACACTCCATCCACACCTGTGGCCTGAGTGCATGGTCAGCCCGGGTCTCAGAAGAGGCACTGTCCACCACCAGCACCCTTGAAGCACCTGTCTCCTGAGCCAGGAGCTGCCCTGCACACACACACCCACAACTGGGAGGGACAGGGCTCCCCAGTGGTCAGGGATCCTCTCAGCAATGGGCTCAGGCCCTAACTCCCATTCTGGCAAAGCCCTGGGTGCTGGCTGGGCATAGTGAGGCACCTGGTAGGATCTTCCTGACTGCCTGGGTGGCCACAGGTGCTCATGCCCCATCTCCAACAATGACCTGGCCACAGCGTGTTGGCTAGGCCGAGTGCAGAGCAGCCCCACAAGTCCCCACAAATGCACACCAACAGGCGCATGAGCTCCTAGTCCCAGAGTGGCCCCTTGTGCAGGCAGAAGGTGGGGATCCCGTGGCAGAAGTGATCAGGCAGCTGGCTTCGGCAGGCCATCTGGGCCCAGGAGGTGTGTGTGGGGATCATCTAGGATCTGAGGCCCTGGGCCTACCTGGGGGTAGAAAAATCAGTGTTGTCATAGGTGACAGTACCAGCTCAGAGCCCTACTGCTGCATCTTCAAGGGCTATAAGTCCTCAACAAGGTGAGTCAGACTCCTTGAGGAATAGGGTCGCCAACCCAGATGATGATGCCCACTTCCAGCTGATCCAAGCTGAGCTGCCTCTGCCTGCCAAGTGTGCCCTGGCCTGGGCCAGCCAGGATCCAAGTGCAGAACACACCTCAGAACTGTGGCAACAGCTGCCCGGAGCAGGTGGCCCCAGAACAGAGAGCTGGGATGGTGGCTCTGGCATGCCTGACCACTGACTCGGGACCAGCTGCTCTGGGAAGAGTCAGGGCACTGATCCCGGTGAGTGGGCCCTGGGGGTGGAAGTGCACCACTCACGTCTGGGGCTCCCCAGGAGTTGCCCACTCACGAGTGGCTGCTCTCCTTCCTCCTGTCTTCCCAGGGCCTAGGTCTGACTCTTCCTTCGCCTGCGCAGCCCCACCCACACACTCAGCCCCAAGAGCGCAGGGCATCCCTGAAAGTCTGCTCTGCAAGCAAGGAAAGCCCACCAAGTGCCTCGAAAGCGACAGAGGTGCAGGCCATCTTCGCCATCACTGGCCTCTGCTTCCTGCCCGAGCTGGCAGGGGGCGCAGCCTGAGCCTGGTGTTCAGGAGACAGAAGAGGCCTCACCTGGGTAGCAATGATGTATTGGACACCACCAGGGCTGGGCTCCATGGCCAGTGCAGCTTTCAGCGTATCAGAGAGAAGAACAGGTGTCAACTGCAGTCCCTTCAGAAACCTGGGCAAAGAGGGCAGGAATGTGTGCACGGCTCCAAGAGTAAAATGTCCAGGATGGAGACAGCGGGCAGGTGGGGCTGTCAGGGCAGGAGGTGGGGCAGGCACTGCAGGTGGGGAATGGGTTTCCTTCAGGGATAGGGAGGAAGTCATGAGGTAGACAGGACACAGTGGTCGGACTCCACGCTGGCCCCCAGGGGGGGCTCGGGCTTTGTGGATCCTTCCCTTTTCTCTCTTCTGGTGCTGGGATGGAACCAGGGGCACTTCGCCACAAAGCTACGTTCCCCATCCTTCAGTGTCCACGTGTACACATGGCCCACGTGGCCCCAGGCAGGATGTGCCATGGTGCTTGCTGCCCGGCCCAGGCTCAGTGTCATGACCTTCGGTGCCTGTGCCTGGCAGGAAGGTCCAGGCACTGTCTCCAAGGAAGGACGGGGAAAGGACCACACTCACTTGTCTCCATTCGTCTCTGGGGGGAAGCTGTGTCTCACGGCAGCCACAAACTCAGCCACGGTGTCCTCCAGGGTGAAGATCACAGCGTTGGGGCCCGCGTCAAACGTGTACGCCACCTGGAGCCCACGGCAGTCAACCTAGTGCTCACACAGGGCCCATCCCTCCCAGACCCTCTATCTGCCAGGGGGATGTGGGTGTCCAGGAGCCGAGGGAGGCCCGTGGGGAATAAGAATGAGAAGTACTGCCGCCTGCCACTCAGGAAGAGGCAGTGAGGCTGTGACCTGAGGGGCCAGGCAACCAGCCAAGTAGCCCACAGCACCCTGGAGCCTCCCGGCTCTGCCTGCAGCAGGGGTCACGTCTGAGCCGCCCTGCCGCGCCTCACCTTCGTCTGCCCGTGGCAGGCGTTGAAACGGTGCACCAGCTGCACGATCCGTCTGGAGACGTCGTTGAGGTACGAGATCGGGGGGAAAGTGTCCAGGCAGGTGGCGTGGAACTGGTTGCTGTCCTTCATGGTCAGCTCAGCAAAACCCGGGAAGTCCCGGGCCTGGATGCAGGAGATCATCTCCCGCATGCGCGACGGCACCACCGACTCTGCCCGGAACTGCAAGGTTCAGGCCGTTCTCCAAGGAGGCGCTGGCTCTGGGACCACAGCGTGGCTCCAGCACAGGCCTCTGAGCAAGAGGCCTGGTGAGCCCCGGGGCTGCCCTCCTGCCCCACTCACCTTGAGCAGGGAGCTGGTCTCCACACTGGTCTGCATGCCCACTGTGCTGCCCATCTGCTTCTTCTCCGCGCTCACCTACGGCAGGCGAGCTGAGCTCTGCTGAGCAGGGAGCTGTGCCAAGCCTGCAGACCCCAGCCCCGACACTCGGCCCTCCCACCACGGGCAGGCAGTGGGGGCCATAGTCAGGTGACCTGCGTTCAGGACTGGCCACATCCCCCTCACAGAAGGGCAGCAGCCCGGCCACAGGGGGCCACTCCTGACAGCTCGGCCTTGGGTAGGCTCCTTCAGCCCTGCTGACCCAAGAGCCCAGGGAAGCCTGGAAGGAGCCCAGTTCCTGGTCTCAGCCCAACCTGACCACAGGACAGCGAGCCAGCTGCTGGCCACGCCCTAGGCCACTCACCACAAGGACGAGGACTCGGAGTTGGGGCCAATGTGACTCAGGAGCCACCTGCCGGGCGACACTGTCCTTCCCATCAGCCTGCTCCCCCATCTGCCACTCCACAAAGCCCCCGTACAGGCTCCGGCAGGCGCTGCCAGAGCCACGGCGTGCCACTTCGGAGAGGTCGTCCTCAACCCCATAGACCCGGGCCAGGGTATAGGCTGCAGGAGGAGGAGGGCATCAGAAGGGCCGGTACGCAGAGCGTCCTTATCACCTGAGACTCTCTGAGACGGCAGATCCTGCACAGTGGCTCCCGGGGTCAGCACCCACTGGCTCAGGCACTCCCTGGTTACTTGGCACCTCCCAGGCCACACTAGAGGGGCAGTCTCCTGCAACTACCCAGGGGACCGGAGCCACCGGGGACTGGAGAAGGCTTCTCCAGGGTCAGTGACCAATTTGGGATCTGGGGGGTGGGAAAGAGTCTGGAAGGTCCCTGGAGAGAGATCAAGGCAGTAGGCCTGGGCAGCGTGTCCACTAGGGGTGCAGGTGGCAATGGGAGGCAGGATGTGACAGGCTCTCTAGAGGGTGGTCCTGCCTCCAGGCCTGGCTCACCCACAGCCCTAGTCAGAGGCAGCTCAGAAACTTAGCGGGGCCAGTGAGCACCATTCTGGACTCAGAGACGAGGGTGGTGGCTCGCCACTGTGTGACTGGTGGTGCCACCAGCTGGGGACAGCCTGCCAGAGGTGCCCCAAGCAGAGGGAAGCAGAGCTGAGATTCTGGTGGCAAGAGCTGGACTCCTGCTGAGCCTGCTGGAGAGCCTGACCCAGCTATGCCAAGGCCAGGGCAGCCCCTGCAGCCCTCAGTTCCAGGAGGAAGAAGGTCACTCAAGCCAGCCTGAGGTGGTTTTTGTCCCAGACTGCAGGGCCTGAACAGGGCATGTTCAGAGGTGAGTCCTGGACCACAGAGCCTGGCGCTGGCTCCCCACGTGCTGCAAGAGCACAGAGAACAGAGGGGACCTTGCTGTGGACACCTACCTAGGCAGGCATAGCCTGCTGCCGAGGAGGCCAGGCCTGCAGCCGTGGGGAAGTTGTTC